CTGTGGACCTATTCAAACCTAAGAGATACTATTCTTTATAGAAACGACTCTTATTTTACACGAAGTTTATGGAGCTTTATTTATATTAAAATAAATATGAAAGATATTATATATCTTCAAATGGAGCAAATAGTTCACAAGATGAAGGGTTATCGGTTTGTGGTCATTCTAAGTATATGAGTTTTCATGGCAAGAAAGGGCATTCCAAATCTCGAGGTAAAGCAAAGACAAAATTGCAAGTATTGTCACAAAGATGATCATGAAAGTTTGGTGTTATAAATTGAAAAAAAAAAAGAGAAATATGGCAAAGAAAGATGAAGATAAATCGGCTAACTGTGCTCGTGCCAACAACGATTCTAACGGTGAAGTTATTGTGGTTATGGTTGGAGTTTCCGATTTCGATGACGAATGGATTCTTAGCTCGGTTTACACATATCACGTGTGTAACACCCTGTTCTCGGTTTAATCATTTTAAAAGATTATATATATATATATATATATATATATATATATATATATATATATATATAATCATGAGTATTTTAATTGTTAAAAGGTATCTAAAAGATTATTGCTATTTATTAGCCAAGTAATTAAACAAATAAATAAGTGGGATTTATTTATTTCAATAAATGGAATATGTTTTAGTCAAGGTTCCAAAGAGTAATTCTTGGAAACTTCTTTTGAAGAAGGAATCAAATTCAAAAGTCAAAAATCTCCGTGGACGGAAAAAATATATAATTAATAATATTTCAATAGTTTTGAGTAAACATGGTTAATAAGTGCGACTCTTATTTATACAAATAAAATGAATTAATTATACTACTGTTGAGTGTGAAGCCATTGGGTTAGTCAAAAGAAGTGACAGGAAACAAGGACTCTCATGTGAACATGAAAAAATTGTTACGGCTGCAGAATTTCAACAATGGTGGCCTTATCAATTTCACATGTATGTGAATGGAAGAAAAGGCTTACGACTCAAAATATTATAAATAGGCTTCTTCCTTTCATTTGTAAAACTTGTATCTAGTGTAACACAGAAAGAGTGCAGATTAGCACCAAGAAATGTAAATTCCTAGTTACCGGTGGACGTAGGTCAGAGAAGGACCGAACCACGTTAAATCCCTCATGTTCATCCTTGTGTTCTTGTTTTTCGTGAGCTGTGTGTGTGTTTAGAGTCGTGTGTTAAGTGTCTCGATCCTAACAAGTGGTATCAGAGCAAGGTTGTAGCTCCAGAAGGTGATTTTCAGTTTTTTGGTCGAAATTTGTTTTCGTCAAAAACGATTTTGGTGTATACCGTTGGAAAGGTCTCGTTCCGAAGATTCCGAAAATATTTTTTTCTGAATTTTTTGACCACCGGAAGACGTCCAAATCGCCGGTCAAAGGTTTGCCGGAATAGTGACTGGAAAAACCAGTTCCGCCGGAGAAGATGACACTGTAGCGCCTGAACTTGCCGGAGAAGACGACACTGTAGCACCGAAGTTCTGCCGGAGAAGACGACACTGTAGCGGTGACGTCAGCAGACACTGTAGCACGCCGTCAGCGGTGACGTCAGTAGACACTGTAGCAGACACTGTAGCAGATTTGAAAAATTGCAGTTTAGCCCCTGAACTTTCAGAAAATTGCAGTTTAGCCCCTGAACTTTCAGAAAAATTGCAGTTTAGCCCCTAATCTTTCAGAAAATGGCAGAAAGCAGTAAGCTTCAGATTGAGAAGTTTGATGGGAAAGATTTTGGTTGGTGGAAGATGCAAATTGAAGATTTGCTCGTGCAGAAAGACTTGGACGCAGTTTTAGGTGAAAAACCGGAGGCGATCACACAAGCAAACTGGGAGACTTTGGATAAGAAGGCCAAGGCATTTATTAGACTGACGTTGTCAAAGGATGTTGCCTTCAATATTTTGAAGGAGACCTCGGCAAAGGGAATCATGGAGGCATTGTCTAATATGTACGAGAAGCCGTCGGCAGCAAATAAAGTCTTCCTGATTCGGGAACTAGTCAACACGAGGATGAGGGAAGGAAGTTCAGTTACAGTACACATCAACAATTTGAACTCGATTTTATCCAGACATGGGTCAGTGGGAATAAAATTTGAGGACGAAGTTCAAGCTTTACTACTGTTATCATCATTACCTGACAGTTGGTCTGGAACAGTTACAGCCGTTACTAGTTCTGCAGGATCGAAAGAGCTCACTTTTGAGGGAATTCGGGATTTAATTCTAGGCGAAGACGTCAGACGAAGAAATTTCGGGGAATCATCAAGTGAACAATTGAATGCGGTCAGAGGTAGAAGAAATAACAGAGGTAGTGGAAGCGGGAACAGGAGAAGGAGTCAGTCGAGGACTCGAAATGATGTGACTTGTTGGAACTGGAAAGAGGTTGGACATTTCTGGAATCAATGTCCAAAAGACAAGAAAAAAGTTAACGTTGCAGTAGACCATTCAGATGATGATGTTTTGATCTGTAGTGTGGAGAGCAATGTGGATTCCTGGGTTATGGATTCGGGTGCTTCATTTCACGCTACCCACAACCGTGAAGCACTGTAGAATCTAAAAGAAGGAGATTTTGGTAAGGTAAGACTGGCGAACGATGAGGTTCTTGATGTGACGAGCATAGGTGACTTAGATCTGAAGACTCCAGTCGGTCCATGGACTTTGAAGGATGTTCGGGTAATTCCAAGTCTGAAGAAACAGTTGATTTCTGTTGGGCAGTTGGATGAACAGGGACACGAGGTTAAGTTCAGGAATGGGCAGTGGAAGGTTGTCAAAGGAAATCTTGTGATAGCTCATGGACATAAGAGGGGTTCATTATATATGGTCAGTTTACCGTCTGAGGGAGTAACCGTCCCAGTTCAGAAGAAAAACAAAATCTGTTTCATAGAGTCTCGTGGATAGAAGAAGGTTTGCTTTGCAGATGGCAAACCCAGAGTCACAGGTCAGATTCAGGTTGAACGTGTTTGGAACGGTTCAGAAAAACCAGTCAAGGGCATTCATAGCAGTGGGAGCAAGGGTTGTGCTTCAGCTAGAATACCCAGAACACAGTGGGTTAAGAGAACCAGTATTCCATCTGTAAAAGTCTCTCCAGATTATCTGCTTCACATGGAGAGTGTCGTTTGTTCTCAGGATGTTCCAGGATCGGGCAGTTCATTTCAGTGGGAGCCGGTGGAGACAGAGAACAGTTCAGTGGCAGACTTAGCCATGACTGATGTGTTGGAGCTAACGGAAGCTTCAACTAGCCTTCAGGTAAATTGAAGAGAAGGCCAGGGTAACTAGGAAGGAGTCAAGATCAAAAGTTTTTACAGAAATACAAATACACAGTTGAAGCAATGGTGAAGATTGTTTCGTGGCTTCAAGTGGGAGATTGTTGAGTGTGAAGCCATTGGGTTAGTCAAAAGAAGTGACAGGAAACAAGGACTCTCATGTGAACATGAAAAAATTGTTACGGCTGCAGAATTTCAACAATGGTGGCCTTATCAATTTCACATGTATGTGAATGGAAGAAAAGGCTTACGACTCAAAATATTATAAATAGGCTTCTTCCTTTCATTTGTAAAACTTGTATCTAGTGTAACACAGAAAGAGTGCAGATTAGCACCAAGAAATGTAAATTCCTAGTTACCGGTGGACGTAGGTCAGAGAAGAAACCGAACCACGTTAAATCCCTCATGTTCATCCTTGTGTTCTTGTTTTTCGTGAGCTGTGTGTGTGTTTAGAGTCGTGTGTTAAGTGTCTCGATCATATTATTGTTGCTCCAAGGGTGCCCAGAGTGGTGTCTGGGTTTGGGTTGGGGCTGTGAGATGGCGATACCGACAATGGTTTTGATATAGGATTTTAGGCTGGTGGGTTCCGATTGTGATGTTAAAAGTGTTATTCATCCTAATATATATATATATATATATATATATATATATATATATATATATATTAACTATCGTGTATTTTTTTTTTATTTGCATTAGGTTTTTTTAATTAAAAAATGTTATACTTTATTAAAAAATATTATGTTTTACTTCTTTCATCTTAAAATTATAGTCCATCTTTCCTTTTTCGTTTGTCCCAAAATAATAGTCCTCTTTTAAAAATAAATAATATTTTTACTAAAATATTTTCTCATTATTACTTAACCAATTAATTATTTAATGGAACATTAAATGCAAAGTAAGGACAAAACTGTCATTTTATTGTATAAAATTAGTGGTAATTAATGTTTTTTTAATCTGTGTGTTTTTTGTCTGTAGACAATAATTTTGGGACGGAAGAAGTATTTAATTAATAATTAATAATGCTATGATAAGTGGGTTGAATGCGTTTGAAAAAAAGGGCTTCTAGCCCAGCGGTATCCGATGGTGCCCTCCCTTCTTGAGGTCGAGGGTTCAAGTCCTGTGGTGGACATATGTGGAATTAGGTGTTAATTTAGGAGTAGATTATAATATTTGTATTTGACGGTTAAAAAAAAAAGAATGTTTTTGAAAAAATAGCATTTTAATTTTGTGGATCGAAAAAAATAAAAAATTGATAATATAGATTTAATGCGACAACGTGTTAATGGATTGAAAAAAAAAAATCTATTTCTTCGACACTAAAAAAAGTAGACATGATTTATCATATATTTATTTATTTTGTATAATAACTTATAATATTATACAAAATACACATATAATCAACGATTCGCGTTATCGTTTCCAACTTTCTAGTACCTTCCATTAAGTACTTGTATCATATTTGTACTTAAACTAATTTATTGTTATAAAATATAATATGTTATATGTGTTGATTTTATTTTTAATAAATGATAGTTTGTTAACAAAAATACTATATAATTAATGAGTAATTTATTATATTTATAACATTCACATTGACTGTTTCTCCATCTCTTTAAAAAAACAAACCACACGATATTCTCAAGTGTGTGTTCATACCTTTTCGTACACACAGTCTCGCACTCTCTCATCGATATAATTACACACACTAGACACACCCTCATACACACACAAACTTACACACATGAAGATACAATCCAACCATGCTTCCCTGTTGATCAAGCTTTCGACCCTAAATTTTCTACTCGTATTCTCCGCTTCCCAAGATTTCGATTTCTTCTACTTTGTTCAACAGGTACATATGCCAATTCTGGCAATTCAGTTCGATTCAAGATATAATCCATATTCTTGATGTTTTCATTCCATTTACGTTAATGAATATAAGACCCACACAATCATTTTACGTGAATAATTTCTTAGTGGCCAGGATCATACTGCGACACAAAACAAAGTTGCTGCTACCCGATCACCGGAAAACCAGCATCGAACTTTGGAATCCATGGACTTTGGCCTAATAGAAACAATGGCTCCTATCCTTCCAATTGCGACTCTAGCAACCCTTTCGATGCATCCAAGGTGATTCTTTTACCATTTTTTTTTTATTTGTATGGTTTTAAATGTTTGTCTTTTTATGTAACAAAGAATAAATGAAGGAAAATATTTACTATCTAAATTGCAGATTTCAGACCTCAGGAGTGAAATGCAGTCGGAGTGGCCAACATTATCGTGCCCAAACAATGACGGGCTAACTTTTTGGGGTCATGAGTGGGACAAGCATGGGACTTGCTCGGAATCCGTACTCAATCAACATGATTATTTTGCGAAAACTCTTAGCCTCAAGGACCAAATAAATCTTCTCCATGCTCTGGAAAGTGCGGGTATTAATCATTCATATATTGTAGCTTTGACTCTGGTATCTAGTGTTTGTCTCTATATACGTTGAAAGACGTATCTTTATTCAAGGGGTTTATGAAAGGAAAAAAAAAAAAAAAAAGACTCCCCATATACACCTAACAAACAACAGAAAACAAATGTGTTGCTCGTTTGTTTCCCGCAACTTATAATGTCAATATGATGCAGGGATTCAACCAAATGGGGAAAAGTATAGTCTTAGTAGCATAAAGAGTGCGATCATAGGAGCAAGTGGTTTGACACCATGGATCCAGTGCAACAATGACTCCTCTGGTAACAGTCAATTGTACCAAATATACTTGTGTGTGGACTCGTCCGCTTCTGACTTTATTGAATGTCCTGTCTTTCCATATGGACATTGTGATTCCTCCATCGAGTTTCCTTCGTTCTAACTTCAATGTTTTGATTCCTTGATGAATGAACATGTCGATTTCTTTAATTAAGCTAAATTTGTATGTTAATTTACTGTTATAAATTAAGCATGTGTTGTTCTTGTAATGACTTTCTATCTTAGTCCTAGAGGTGTACTTGTGTGGAGCTTGGCGTCATAGCGTCAAAGCGGGCAGCTGTAAAAATGGCCCAATTTATATATATATTACGTATGAGACCCATGTAATACATGAGTTTATTTAAAAGAAAAAACAAAATATAAAATTCTAAAGATTTAGAAGTTTGAATTTATAAGAAAAATGAGAAAAATATTGAATTATAAAAACTAAAGTGTTTTTTTTTCTAAATTTAAACAAATAATTTAGATAAATAAATAAAGAAAATTAGTGAAACTTTAGTTTACTAATTTTGAAATTAAAAGGAAAGTTCATTAAAAAAATTAATTTGCATTTATTATTGCATTTTAATACTAATTCAAAATAACCACAAAATAACATGTGGAATAAAATTAATTCAAAATAATCACAAAATGACATTTGACAATTTGAAGTGTGACAAGTGGCAAAAAAACCTTCATTTATTATATATATATATATATATATATATATATATATATATATATATATATATATATATATATATATATATATATATATATATATATATATATATATATACTAGGTTAAAAGCCGTGGAATCAACGGGTGTTAATTTTAAATAGAATTTAAAATTTAATTATGTAATGAAATAATATTTCATTAATTTGGAAAACTTATGAATTGCAATATTGCATTTTTTAATAACTTTGTGATTTGTAAGTATTTAATTACACAATAAATGGTAAGTATTTAATTACAAATAGAGATTTTTAAAACCCTGACTTTTGATGCATGATTCTCGTTGAACATACGGAGATGATGACACTACCACAAGAGAGCGAGTGGGAAGAAAAAACGTTTGTTGGCTAAAATGCCACTTTTACCATTATAACTTACCATCTCAATAAATCTTCAACTCCACTATCTCGATCAGTCATTGTCATTGTAGCATTTTTACTCATTCTTCATTATTAATGATCTTAATTTCGTGAGATTAATAGAAATTGTTGCTTTCTTCGTCAGTTTTTTTTCAAAACTTTACCTTGATTTACCGCGTCATGTGTTTCTTTTTTAGGCTTACTGGCCATAACCTTGAAATCCGTGCAATGGTGGTGTTTTTCTTAGAATATGTTCTCTATTTTAGTAAATTTGTAAATTTTAAGTATTTAATTACAAATATAAATCTATCTATTTTATAAAAGCCAGACTTTATATAATGCAACATACGTTTGAGTAACGACAAAAAAACCCAAAAAAACATCAAAATTGATTTGATACAAAACAAACAAAACATGTCTGTAATGAAATTAACATAAAAAATACAATACGTAATTATAAATAAATAAATTAATATGATGGATGAAGTGTGATTTGCTAAAAATGACTAAAAGATGCTACAAAAAAGCTGGTTATAAATTGCGAAAAACTTCCTTATAAACAACATTGAAAGTTTTATTTGTGAGTCTACCATCTTTATCTAAAATTAATAATTTTAATATCTCTCTGCTTTGAACTCTAGATAAGGCAACATACAATTTCACATGTGAAAAAACTTCCTTGTAAACAACATTGGAAGTTTTATTTGTCTAGATAAGGCAACATACAACCCTTGGAATCTACAGGACATAAAATAAAGAATATTGATAATCCAAAAGTAAAAGAATATTCATAATCGTAGTCGTCATGTTTTATCGGTAACTTTAATGGTTAATTTAAATTAATATGCAAAAGGGTTTGAATATAGGGCAACGTTTTTTATCTATATATTAATGAAAAAAATGATAATTTTGTACAATGAATATAAAATTGAATAGACTTAAGAAAAAAAAACAAAAACACAACGAATCATGAAAATGATATTGTTATATGCAAATAAAAAATTTAGATAATATATGAAACATATATGAACACAATAAAATAAATTACAAATTCAAATGATGAATAAAGTGTGTTTTATTAATAATAAATATAATATTATATAAAAAATAAATTATGCAAATTGTTTATAAATATTTAAAAACTTCTTTATACACAAAAATAATCATTAATTATAGATTTGCAAAAATTAATATTTTTATAAAGTTTGATATGTTAATGGTAACAAATTAGAATAACTTAGTCACTAATGATAAATTTATAAACGTTTCTTTTGATACAATATCTTTATCTGTACTCTCTACATAAAATGGTTCAAAATCATAAGAAATATTATTTAAATGATGATTAATAACATAATGATCATAGTGTACATTGAGAATAAACTTTGAAAAAGTCAAAAATAAGAACAACAATCATACATGATAATAAAATGAGTTTTAAATCCTATAAAAACGAATTAATGTAACAAAACTACATGTATATAAAGATTTGTGTGACAAATGAACTTTTGATCGTTTGATACATTTTATTACATAAAATTTATGTTGTCCAAATATAGTTCTTTTTAATTTTCTATTGTCTTTAGCGTCACTATAATAAATCTTATCTGAATCTGTAGTCGGTATAATAATTTTTATTTGAAAAATAACAATTTATGCAATAAAAAAATGACTATGAACATTCTTAGAGTTTTTATAAGTTTTATTATGATTATATGTAATTTTTAATGAATAATTGGTCAAAAAATAAATAGCCATAAAATATCAAATTTGAAGTTCGTTAAATGGACAATAACATTTTCGATTGACCTATTAAAGTCTACACATATATGAAGTTGTTGCCTGTTGTAAAATTTTACATTTTATTTTTAAAAGGTTGGTTAAAAAGACACCTTACTTTACCATATACACATCCTACTTAGTTTTTAAAGAATTTTTATTGGTTGAAATTGTATTGATTTCCAAAAAGATTAGTTGTAAGTAGTTATTACATATTAAGTTTTGATGAAAGTGTTAATGGAGCGTCCATTTAGAAGCACCCAATTTTAAATTAGCATCAACTTATAGTAAAATCTGTATCACATTTGTACGAGAAAGTCAACACTTATTGTGTATGTGTTGGTCATTTCAATCAAGTAAAACAGGGGTAACAATATTACATAGATAATTTCCAGAAATAATGATAAAAAATTTCAAATGTGAAATATGAATTTAAACCAACAGATGATGTTAAGGGATCGATTTATATATACCAAATATATTATTCATCATTTACTCCTTCATTAGTTCCTTATATAAACGGATTTTATTGTTCAATGCAATGTATGACATAAGAATTGGGGGCAAGAAGGTAATTTAACTTTCCATTTAATAATTATGATTTTCTATGATATTTACATGATGTTGATTTATAATCATATCATCAACCTATTTAACTGTAACAATCTTTCATGTTGATAAACAGAAAAAACCCAGCATATATGAGAAATTAAAACGACGATTATGCCCCGATTATGCCCCCCTGTAATGGTATTATTGAAATTTACATCAAATAAATTATTCCTACTACTGATTCCATTAATGAAAGTACAAATCTAATGGTAACAAAACTCAAATCATGCAAAATAGCAAGCAATTTTCTGAATTAAATTTGAAAGTTAGATAAATCAGACAACAATCTTTCACATTACTATAATGCAACAAATGTTGTGTTTGTGTTGGTCATTTCAATCAAGTAAAACAGGAGAAAAAAAGTGTGTTTTGGACGTTTAAACTTGGCATTATAGGTACAAAAGAACTTAGTTGGACCATTTTGATCATTTTAACCATTTAAGTTTGGTTTTGTCGTTTGGTCAAAATGGTAATTTTGGTCATTTTTCTCAATTTCAATACAGAAAAAAGTATTTTTGTCATCTAAATTGGCATTACAAATAAAAAAATCAATATAAAAGTCTAAACAAAACTTAAATTTTTTTAGTCTAATAAAATTTTACAATTCAATATTGATAACAAACTTAATGGTAACTAAACCGAAATCATGCAAAATGACAAGCAATTTTGTTAATTAAAATTGAAAGTTGGATAAATCAAATAACAATCTTTCAGCCTGATAAACAGAAAAAAAAACAGAAAAAACACAGCAGATCCGATAAATTAAAATGACGGTTATTCCCCTGTAATGTTTTGAATATAAATCATTGGCATCAATAAGTAATTTTCTGAATTAAATATTGATAACAAATTTTCTTAATTAACATTGAAAGTTGGATAAATCAAATAACAATCTTTCAGCCTGATAAACAGAAAAAAAACACAACAGATCGGAGAAATTAAAATGATGGTTATGCCCCTGTAATGTTTTGAATAAACATCATTGGCATCAATAAGCAATTTTCTGAATTAAAACTGAATGTTGGATAAATCAGATAACAAACTTTCAGATTGATAAATAAATAAATAAATAAAACCTAGCAGATTTGAGAAATTAAAATGGCGGTTATGCCCTGTAATGTTTTGAATAAAAAATATTTGGCATCAATTAAGTTAAAGGTTAGGATTTCCGCTAAAAATACATAACATTCAATCAGATTAACAATACCACCAGAAATAGTTTTATAGCAATGCACTATAAACATGCAAAAGAGGTGAGAAAATTTAAGCATACCTAATCGCAGAATGTATGCCAACTTCGCTATGATTTTTCTTCTGCTCCTGCTGCTCTTCGTTATATGTGAATGAAAGGATGAAGGGAATTTTCAAGTAATCAAAATATTTAACCAATATATATATATATATATATATATATATATATATATATATATATATATATATATATATATATATATTCGAATATGATATGATGTTATTAAAACTTTACATAAATTACGTTAAAAAAGGTATCTTTGGGTAATTGAGTATTGTTTATTGACTTTCTGTTTTAAAAAAACTTACAGGAAATAAGAGTAATTACATTACATAAATAAATCATTATCATTATTTGTTATTGAACATTATTGAACATTGAAG